TGAGCCTCTCTGTGCTCCAGGCTAGCCCTTTACCACTTGAGCCACAGCGCCACTTCCAACCTTTTCAGAGTGGCTTATTGGAGATAAGAGTCTCATGTACTTTTCTGCCTGGGCTGGCTCTGAACCGTGATCCTCAGATCTCATACACCTGAGTGGCTAGGATTACAGGCATGAGCCACCCTGCTTTGCTATGATTTCTTATCCTGAGTTTATAACCCAGTGTCTCTGGGAAGACAAAAAAAAAACCTTAGAAAATCAAAGTCTTACTCATCCTGTGAATAGTGTGGCTATTTTTATTACACAGTGAAAGGCAGAATTGCCCCTTTGGGCAGAGGAAGCCCCCCTCCCCACCCCAGTGACCACAGTACTCCAGCTGTGCCCTCTGAAAGCCCTAAGAGAAGCATCTGGCATCTCCTGCAAGAGAGGACTACACCAGTGTTGAAATGGGCTGGCCATGTTCCAGGAACAGTCCGACCCAGAGCGATCTGCTTTGAAGGCTGGAAGTGGCTTGGTCCCTAAGGAGCTGGCAAGCTCCCAGCAGGAGCCAGCAGCACAGGAGGATCCTTCCATCAGGGTAGGGGTGGGACATGGTATGAGACAGAGGGAGGGGCGTGGGCAGGGCTGCTTCTGCTGCCGGTGATTCCTGTTTGTGTGGCAATCTTGAAGATTAGACCCGAGTCCCCACCTAGAGGCTCATTAGGGGCAGCAGAGCAAACAAGGCCTTTGGAGTGGCTTCAATTAAGAAACACAAGTGACTCAGGGAAAAGCTGCTCAGCCGATGGCAAGCGTGGTGTGAATGCCACTTGCAGTGAGGCGATTTGGAAGAAACAGGCTGTGCTTTTCAGTGTGGCAGAGGAAGCTACTCCCAGGGTTCCTCTCGGCTCTCTGCGGGGGCATCATGGATGCTGTGACTGTATCATAATCCCCCCACGTGACAATGCCATCTGGCATAATCCGAAAGGTTTTCCAGGATTTTTCTTCTTGGTCTATGTGTTTGAGTTCAAAAAAACTAAAGAAGCACGTGTTTGTCCATGGACCACTGCTCTGAGCTAGGCAAGCTTTAAGAACATTTGCATTAAACTGGGCATGGTGGTAAACACTTGTAGTCCCAGCTTCCTGTAAGGATAATCATTTGAGCTTAAGACCAGTCTGTGTAACATAGCAAGATCATATGTTGCTGAGCAGCTAGGATTACAGGCCTGAGCAACCAATGCCTGGCTTCTTCATGTGTTTCTTAGCTATTTGTATCACATTAACATAGCAATCACATTAAAGAGTAAAAAAAAAAAAAGGTCATGTTTCTCTAGTTTGGGGGTGGTTTTATTTGCTTTACAAAAGTGAGTTATTTAGCCAGGTATCTCTGGTTCGTGCCTGTAATCCTAGCTACTAGGTAGGCTGAGATATGAGAATCATGTTTCAAAGCCAGCCCAGGCAAGAAAGTCCATGAGGGTCTTATCACTACTTAATTACCAAAAAGCTAGAAGTGGAGCTATGGCTGAAATGGCAGACTGCTAACCTTGAGCACCCAGGCCCTGAGTTCAAATTCCAGGATCAGTACAAAAAAAAATTTAAGTAAATTATTTGCCATGTAGCATTATCAGGCTAGCCAAAAGGTGAAAACAACCCAAAATGACCATCAACAGCTTCATGGAGAATCAAAATGTGGCATAACCACACTATCTTGGCCTGTTGTCTGATGCTATAACAAATTACCTGAAACTGGGAAATTTATAAAGGACAGAGGTTTGCTTTGGTTCATGGTTCTAGAAGCTAAGACATGTGAGACCATGGTGCCAGCTTTGGCTTGGTTTATGATGAGGGCTTTGTGCCGCTTCAACCTGTGAAAGCGAGCAGAGGGCAAATGGACAAGTGTAGAAAAGATAAAACACAAGAAGCTCCCTCCTCTCACAATCCATTCTCATGGAGTAGCTAAAAGAAATCTAGTAGAAGTTCTCTAATCCCTCCCACAAGCTAATCAGCCTTATAAGCCCTCTCCACACTGCTACAATGGGAATCAGATCTCCACGTGAGTTTTGGAAGGTGTCTACCATCTCAAAACATAGGTGGAGTATTATTCAGCCACAACAATGAATGCAGCCTGGTGCTAGAGGTTCACGCCTGAAATCCTAGCTACTCTGAAAGCTGAGATCTCAAGCCAGCCTGCGCAGGAAAGTCCGTGAGACTCTTATCTCCAATAAACTACTCAGAAAAAGCTGGAAACAACAAACTAAATTACTCAGAAAAAACTGAAAGTGGCGATGTGGCTCAAATAGTAGAGCACTAGCCTTGAGCAAAAGAAGTTCAGCACTCAGGCCCTGAGTTCAAGCCCCAAGACTAGCAAAAAAAAAAAAGAATGCAATACTCATACACAACTCAACATACATGAGTGTTGGAAATACTAATGGAAGCAAAAGAGGCCATAGATAATATAGTTAGTTACATATTGCATGACACTCCACCCCCACCCCAGATAAAATGTCTGGACTAGGTAAATCCCAAGAGACTAAATGTAGGTTAGCAGCTACCAGGAGATGGAAAGAAAGAGAAAAACTGGGACTGGCTGATAATGAGTCTGGAGTCTCTTTTGGGAAGTATAAAAGTTAGGGAATTGTATAGTAGTAATGATCAGATAGTACTAGGAATGTATTAAAATCACCACACTGTACACTTGAACATGGTGAATGTGAACTCAATAAAAAAAAGAAAACTATTGCTGCCTCTTTACAAATCAATGATCAAAATCCCTCAGAAATCCTGGTTCTGACAGCGTCTGGAGCCCAGGGAAGGTGGGGGGCTGGGAGAGGAATGCAGTGCCCTTACATAATTATAGCTCTGTATGGAATCATACCCACAGTTACCGTCCACATCAGTGAGCTGGAGTCTCTGCTCCAGCTTGATTTCCTTAATAAAATGCCATTTGTGTGGGGGGGTCCATGGTGCCTTGGCTCTGGACCATGAGGTGGGGGAGGAACACTGTCACTGACCTCCTTGTGGCCTGGGGCCACGGAGGAACCTTGGCCCCAGAGCATATAACTCCTGATGCGCCAGTACACAGGAGGCCATGTAGAGATGGATCCTGGGTGACACTGGGAAGGGGAGGGGTGACACCAAAAGAGAGGGAGAGAGAGGAAGATGAAAAGCTGCCTTCTACTCAATTAGCTTCTTTTTAAGGATCAGCCTGACTGGCAGACGGAAAATTCCACACTGGCAAAACAAAAGAGAGCCAGAAAGGAGGGCAGAGGAAGGGCACGCCAGCCTCCTGGATCTTCTCCAGTGCGTCCAAGTTCCTTCTAACTTTCCCAAGTCTCACTAGATCTCCACGGCTTTACCCAATGGCACAAAGGGTAGCTGATTGGTCCATCTTAGGATGCACATTACTGGGGGGGGGGGGGGGGGGAAGGGGGGCGGGGCGAAGGGGGAGGTGGGAAGAGAAGAAGCAGGCAGGAGGGGAGATTTCATTTGGGAAAAGGATGTTGGGATGAAAAGTCACCTAAAGCACATCCTTTTCCAAAGTTATTTCCTTTCCAAGTGTTGATTTGATTTCATCAAGGGAAAGCTCTGGTCAGAACTGCTGCCCTTCTTGTTTACTTGGCAGCAAGAAGGAAACACTCAGAGCCTTTGATAGGCAACAATATCTAGGTTAGAACACAGTGCAATTGTTTAGTGTCACTGTGCTTATTTTTACTTTTTAGTATTAACTTACTATTTATTTTCCCCCTTGAGACAGGGTTTGGCTATATGTACACCCAGGCTAGACTCAAGATCTTCCTTCTGCTTCAACCTCTCTTGAGGACAGGGATTACATTAGGTAGCATAGGCTACCTACTACACCTTGCTTAACTTACTATTTGTAGCAAGCATTGCAGACTTTCCCCCTTACAATAGTAATATTGATATCATTTTCAAAAGAAAAATGCAGGTGCGGTGCACATAGGGCAGAATAAGGTGGGATGAAATTGACAGGTACTTTTGAAATGTCTTTTTTTTTGTCCCTTTAGTAATGAACAGTTCTATAGCTGCATAAAAGCATTCTGTCCTGCATATGCCTCTCAATGGTCCCGAGTGTTTGGAAACCACTGTTCAGTGATATCAATGCATCTCTCAGAACATCTCTGATGTTTTGGTCAAAAGCCAGCTACTAAGAAAGCACAAAGTAGTTCTCACAAGCACGCATGATCTTTGTCTGTGACAGAGTCAGTAACAGCCTGAAAGGCAAAGATGCTATCTAAAACCTGAGTCTGTGTGGTGCCTGGTGTGGTAGCTCACACCTGTAAACTCAGCTGATATTCAGGATATGGAGTTAGAAGAATCACAGTTCAAGGCTAGCCCTGGGCAAAACAGTTATCAAGACCCCCACTCCCGAGGTCTCAACCAACAAACCAGACATGTTCACATGTGTAATTCTAGTGATAAAGAAGGCATGCCGCAATCCAAAGCTAGCCCCTATAAAACTGAGACTATTTGAAAAATAACTTTGGTATCTGGGCCCTGGTGGCTCACACCTATAATCTGACTCAGGAGGCAGAGAATTGAGGATCAAGGCTCAAAACTAGCCTTAGAGTCCCTATCTCCAATGAACCAGCAAAAAGGCTGGTTCAAGTGGAAGAGCATCTGCCATGAGCACAAAAGCAGAGCAAGAGCTTGAGGTTCGAAGTTCAGGCCTCAGCACTGGCACCAAAAAAAGTTAAATAAAAAAAAAAAAACTAAGGAAAAAAAGAGATGGAGTGTGACTCTAATAGTAGAAGCACAAGTCTCTAAGTTCAAACTCCAACCCCACCACACACACACACACACACACACACACACACACACACACACACAGCCATGCTATTTTACCTGGTAAGAAACAATTATCAATACTTTGAGAACACTTCCAAAATTTGGAAAAGGATGCATGTCTTTCAACTGATACGTTTGAAATATTTCATGATAAAGTGGTGGTCACAAACAAAGATGACAAGGTGGTGATATTCTTACAGATATCTATCTTATTCACTTACCAATAATAGATTTTTATCAATGCTGAAGGCCACAGAAGAAAAGAGGCCACAAACGCCAGAATTGGGATGGCCAGTGTCCCGCCCGCGATCACAAACATATTAAGCACATCAAGATCCATCCTGCACGTTGGGCTGGCTGACACCTGCAGGGACAGAAAAGACGAGGAGGGACTGAAACTCTCTCAAGAGAAAGGGAGGAGAAAAAGCCAAAGGAGAAAAGAACAATGAAGGCTCCAGAGCAAGCACTCAGATCAGGAGGAAGCAAAACAGGTGACTTCTTAAAAAAATTAATTTACAATATTGTTATTATAGAGGTGATGTACAGCGAGATTACAATTATATGAGTCAGGTGATGAGTACATTTTCTTTTGTACAGTGTCTTCTGATTTCTCATCCTCTCCCAGTCACTTCCTCCTGTTGTATAGTTCATTCTCATCAATGTCCAATGAGTTCCACTACTACTCTCTTTTTTTCTTTTTTGCCAGTCCTGATTCTTGAACTCAGGGCCTGGGTACTGTCCCTGAGCTTCTTTTTGCTTGCACTTTACCATTTGAGCCACAGAACTACTTCCAGCTTTTTCTATTTATGTGTACTGAGGAATTGAACCCAGGGCTTCATGAATGCTAGGCAAGCACTCTCCCACTAAGCTACCTTCCCAGCCCTTCACTACTACTCTTTCTCCCTTGAATTCTGTGCCCTCCCTGTCCCACCCTCCTGAAGATATACATATGAAGATACCATACATAAGGTAACGAGTACAAAATCATCAAAAACTAAAAACTTTTTCTAAAAAAGTGTTTTGTTTCCATATCTTGGAGTTCATTTCAGTATGTATATTATTTTATATAAATATGAAGAGGCACTGAGGCATTGTACCTTTGTGTTTCTCCCCTTAGAGTACCTTCTTTTGGTCTCTCTGTGTGTATCTAGAATCCTGTATAATTTGTCATATTCCAGTTCATTTTTGATCTAATTTCCACATATCAGACAGAACATGCACAGTTGGTTTTTCTGAGCTTGGCTTACCTCACTTAATATAATTTGTTCTAGTGCAGATGACTATTTAAAAAACTAAACTAAATGTAATAAGGAACCTGAGGGAGGATCTTGGGCTTTAAAAATATGCAAATCACAAGTCTAAGACAGAAGATAGAGCTGTGGCTAGTAGAGGACTCTCCTTAAGCCAAAAATGCTCAGGGACAGTACCCAGACCCCGAGTTCAAGCCCCAGGACCAGCAATAAATAAGTAAATAAATAAATAAATTTCTAAGGCAATCAGCTGAGCTTTGTGGTTCACACCTGTAATCCTACCTACTCAGAAGGCTGAGATATATGGATTACTCTATAAAGCCAGGCTTGGCAGAAAAGTCTGTGACACAGCTCCAAGTAACCATGGACTTCCAAGTCTCATGAAATTCCTGCCTATGTTGGCTTTGAACCATGATCCTTAGAGCTCAATCTTTTGAGTAGCTAGGATTACAGGTATGAGCTACCAGCATCTGGTCTTTTCTTTCTTTCTTTCCTTCTCTCCTTCCTTCATTCTCTCCTTCCTTCCTTCTCTTTCTTTTTCTTTCTTTCCCTTTCTTTCCTTCCTCCCCTTTCTCCCTCCCCCCTCTCTCATTCCTCCTTCTCTCCTTCCCTCCCTCCCTTCTTTCTTCCCTCCCTCCCATTCTTTCTGTCCTTCCTTCCTTCCTTCCTTCCTTCCTTCCTTCTTTCCTTCCTTCCTTCCTTCCATCCTTCCCTTCTCTTCTCTTCTCTTTCCTTCCTTTCTTTCCTTGAAGTAGGATCTCACTATGCAGCCCAGGCTGGCCTGAATCAGAATCTTCCTGCCTCAGCCACCAGTGCTAGAGTAACAGGGAATGTGCAATCATACTCAGATTTGTCTTTGTGTATATATACAAGGGCCAGGGGAGTACTAGAGTTAGAACTCAGGGCTTTGAAGTTGCTAGGCAGGCACTCTACCACTTGAATCATGCCTCTGCCCTAGAATTGCCATTCTTAAACATAAAAAGGAGACCAAAAACTTCTAAGATATAAATGAAGAAAAAGATACAGGTACACACGGACCATGTGCACAGACAGTACTGCTAGGCAGATGTGCAGATATAATCCATGGCTATTTCTAAGGTGGATGATAGAGAACTGGGTGTCATGGATAGATAAGAGGTTTGATTTCCACTTTTCAAGTCTTTCCAATTAAATATATTGTCTTTCCAATATACATATATGACATTAAGATATAAGTGATATATAACAAGAGGCTGCAAGGGGAACAAGAGCAAAGGTAGCTTTCCGAGGTCTTCCTAAAGACTCATAAACACAGATGAGGGCTGCCATGTGGCCCAGGGCAGGCAGATCCCACCATAACTGCTTCCCCTGTTTTATAAATTTGAAGAAAACTGGGGCTCAGAAAGCTTAACTAACTTATCCAGGTCACCCAGCTGGTACAACAGTGATTAAAAAAACGGGCTTCTGATTGCAACAAAACCCCTTGTGCCAAGCTCTAGTTCATGTCATTGTTTCCAATGGTCTCTTCTTAATCTTTGCAATCCCTTTTGTTCTTAGGTGCCTACATTCATTATCTCTGATTTCTCCATGAAGAGTTCTCTGTCCTAGAGACTTAGCCAAACAAGGTGCTCAAGGTTGAAAAGGGGAAACCCCAATTTGGCTAGGTGAGTTAGACACTCCTCAGCCATATTCTACCCTATTCTCTCTGCCCAGGCCTAAGCAGCACCCTTGTTTCTTTTCTTATTCAACTGCCCTCCTGGGAGCTTAGTTGCTGAGAACAACTGTCCCAGTGAGCCTGACTCAGTGACCAGTTTCTCACTGTGCCCTGAGGGTAGGAATAACCACGCATGTTCTTTCTCTGTGCCTGCTAAGTAGAAGTGGACTCATGACAAGCAAAGTTAACAAATGGATCCAATGCTATTGAATTGTCTGTAAAGGAAAATGATTCCCAAGAATGCTGTAAGAGATCTGATGCTTTTCTTCTTCCAGTAACCAAAAACTCCCTGGAGGGGTCGCCTATTAAATTCACAGTACAGAGGATGGAGGTGTGGCTCGGTGGTAGAACACTTAACTAGGAATAAGAACATTTTATGCCAGAGGATATAGGTGTACAAGGCTCTGACACTGGAAATAACAGCCCTGAACTGAAATTATGGTCTTTAGAAAGATACCTCCCTGCCTTGTGGGTGCCTGTCAACAAGTTGGAAAGTTCTACCAGGATCCATCTTCCATTTACCAGCAGAAATGTAGAATATGATCAATGGAGCAAGGTTTAGATTTATTCCAGAGAACCTGCAGGCTTTTCCTGACAAGGTCAAATAAGGATAGGCCCTGGCTGAAACAAAACAAAACAAAAAAACAGAACCACTTTCCAATTGCAATGTTTTAATCTACAGATAAAGAATAGACAGTTATTTCTATCTCTGCAACATTGTTTCTTTAGAAAGCAGTTCTTCTGCTCTGCTGGGGTTTATTAATAGAATAATCTACATGCTGAGGAGAAGGCTAGAGACACAAAAACTGAAGTCTGTGAACTAGGAACCACCAGTGACTAAAAATGAGAAAATTTGTTCTGAATGTAAGTGTTTCCAGGACCACAGACCCACAGGACTGACAGTGCAAGATGCTTTGCAGGAAGAGGAGAAAATTAAGCCATGCTTCAAGGTTCACAGCTTTAGCTAACACCAACACACACACACACACATACACACACACACACACACAATCATTATCTCCCTTCAGTCAGAGAGCTCTCAGAATAGTGTTGTTGTTGTTAATTTTTATTATTTTTTTGGGGGGGGGGATCCAGTCGTGGGGCCTGAACTCAGGGCCTGGGCGCTGTCCCTCAGCTCTTCAGCTCAAGGCTAGTGCTCTACCACTTGAGCCACAGCGCCACTTCCGGCTTTTTCTTTTTGCTTATGTGGTGCTGAGGAATCGAACCCAGGGCCTCAGGCATGCAAGGCAAGTGCTCTACCACTGAGCCACCTTCCCAGCCCAATTTTTATTACTTTTAAGTAGTCATACAAGGGGTTACGATCCAACACGTCTTATGAGAACTCTGCATTTTGATCAATGTCACCCTCTCATCATTCTCCTCCCAACCCCTCCCTCTCATTTTCCTAGTTTCGTAGGATACACATTGAATATTATGACTGCATTCTCCCCTAGGAAGCTATGTTAAATAGTTCTCTGATCCTGGGGACTCCAGGAGCAATTTAGCTGGTCAGGACCACGGTTCCCTTTCATTGATTTTAACAGATACTTTTATTTGTTTGTTTGTTTGTTTATGCCAGTCCTGGGACTTGAACTCTGGGCCTGGGCACTGTCCCTCCATTTCTTTTGGCTCAATCACTTGAGCCACAGTATCACGTCTAGATTTTTCTGTAACTGGAGATAAGGTTGGCTTTGAACTACAAACCTCCTGAATAGCTAGGATTATAGGCACAAGCCACTGGCGCCCGGCAAACAAATACTTTCAAGTTATGATGTAGATGCTAATTAATTTTAAGAATAAAAAGGAATCACCTAAAGCTGCTAAGTATGTGACACACAGGTCTGCAGAGAATCATGATGTATGTGGGGATGGCTGTCACTAAGGGGCAGATTCCCCAGAACCCTGCACACTGGCTGGGGCATCAGCCAGCTCCTCCTCCTGTTGGGGCCCTTGCACACTCTGACTGAAAGACCTTGGACTCCTCATCTACTGAATACGGATATTCAACCAAATCCCCTCCTTTCTACTTTGGTGACACCAAATCTTTCTGAAATTACGCCAGGCAATTAAAGAGTACGGTCTGGCTTGTCATCTCAAGAATCTTGTCTCCTATTAAATTGTTCCAGAAGTTAAGACGGTATCTGGTAAGCATTTTTTTGGTACTGATAATGTTCACTGCCTTACTTTCCCCACCTCGTATCCATTGGAGGAGGCAAGGGACCTCAGGGTCCTGCAGTGCAATGTGAAGTAAGGTCATGTCAACAAGAATCTGGCCATTTCAGCACCAGGCAGTATAACCAGTGTCACAGGCCACAAAAGACCCCCCCCCAACCTGCCACATGACCTTCTCTTCCACTTGTCACTACCCAAGCTGTGCCTTTATGTCTGAACACAGGACAAAGATTACTTGGATCCAGATAAACACTGCGTAAGGGAAATAGAGTTCAGTCTGGATTTTGGAATCAGACATGACATTTCACAATTCTCTTTTAAACATGCTCACTTGTTTTGAAAACTGGAGAATCTTAAGCTCCAACACATGAATCTCCAGTTGATAAAGCAAAATCCAAGAATAAACCAAATGGAGGACATTTTCATGGAACTCTGCCTTTCTCTAGACACCTACCTGTAGCCCATCAAATTTGATCCCTTCAAAATAATGATGATCCTTAACAATAACCTCAACAAAAATACCTGCATCATAGCCAAAAACCTAAGAGCAATGGCATCAATCCACTGATACCCTCCGCAGGCAGGGCCAGGCATGCACCCTTCCATTTTATCTCGCACTATTATAAAACAGAAAGCATGTCTTCCATTTCAAAGATGAGAACAGAACACTGAGGCTAAAACAGTGAATCCAATTTGAGGTGGGGTGACCTAAACTTCACTGAATCCCCTAGGTCTCCTTAGTTCATGCTACCTTGACCTTAGCAAAGAGTTCTGGAGCAGTAATGGACTATGTGTCACTGTGCACAAGCTCAGAGCTCTACGTCCTCATGGGTGTCCTTTGCCATTCTCCAGAACTGTTTCAACAGGCAGTATTTTAATTTTTTTATTTTAAATTTTTAAGTCACCTGTCAGCTTAGTCCTATTCCTTGAAATGGAAGCATTATAAGCTAGCTCTTAGGTAGTGTTGCATCTAACAAACACTGACTTCTGAAACAATGATTCCTCAAAATTATGCAAACACTAGCAGATAAAAAGGATGCAAAGAGGGCTGGGAAGGTAGCTTATAGGTAGAGTGCATACCTTGCAAGCATGAGGCCCTGGGTTCGATTCCTCAGCACCCCATAAGCAAAAAGAAAAAAGCCGGAAGTTGCGCTGTGGCTCAAGTGGTAGAGCGCTAGCCTTGAGTTAAAGAGCTGAGGGAGAGTGCCCAGGCCCAGAGTTCAGGCCCCATGACCAGACCAAAAAAAAAAAATCTTAAAAAAAAAAATGATGCAAAGAAAAGATTCTCTTGTGTGGAAGCAACAGGAGAGCAGGAACAGAATACTATAATACATAGGTTGTTCTCAATCCTCTTCTCTATCTCACTGAAACTGTGGAGCAAGCAGGTTAAGGTTGCCCAGCCACTTTGCAAGTATGGCCAAGCTCCAAGGTTCTTGGCCTTTTTTAATGGCCTTTTTGTCTCCTCACCTCTGGAACTGTGCCCATTCCTCATCTGCAGTTTGCTGCTCCAGCAGTCTTGCTATTGAAGCAAGCCTGGTTAGGGTTCTAGGATACTCTCTTCGCTCTCTCCCCAGGATATTCCCATAATGCTCTTCTCTCCTCACTTGCATCCTTCCCTAATCCCTTTATAGCAAATTTAAAAATTAACAGACCCAATCAGACCTTTTTCTAAATTTTTCTAACTGCAATACAAAGTTCCACAATGTCTCAGATATATCTCTCTACCACTTGTGACTGATTTCTGCCAATATCACTTCCAATACCCTCATCAGTCTAGTCTGGATGCCAATGCATCTTCCGTTCTTCTCACTTGCTCCCACTCTAAGTATGCAATGGTGGAAAGGCACCAGCCCTAAAGTTAACCTGTCTGAGTCTACACAAAATGTCATTCAAACTAAAACAACTCAATGATTAAGTAATCTACTCATTCAATGGAATCTAATGTTCAATTTTCAGTTACACCAGCTACCTTTCAAAGTAATCCACAGCCACATGTGGATCAAAGTTCCCATACTGGAAAACACAAGTATTAACAGATCTACACCCTTGAAGGTCTCCTAGAAGCTATTTCTCTAACCAGTTTGGCTCAATATTGACTAGGAATGTTGGGTAGGCAGAAAATCCCACTAAAATGAGAACTGCATGTCAGGCAACGGAGCTCTGTGTCAGCACACTATGGCCAGGTCCTCCTTCCTCTTTGCTTCCTTTCTGTAAAAGTTTCCCCACACCCACAATCCCCTCTCCCAGAGGGATCGTCTCAAATTCCCCCAGGATTTGGACTGTACTGAACTAATGAAATATCAATCATCTCATAGTATCCCCACTCACTGTAGTAGTTTAGACTCACCCGGTCTCTGCTAGCATCCTAACAAACCAGCTCCCTGCACTACCCAGCTCTGCACTGGCCTCTGCTCTATCCCTCCCACTGGCCTCTCCTAGCAGAGCCCTGCTGACAAACTGATAAACTTTTGGCCTCCTGGCTAGTTGATAAACTCCTCTAGGCCTCCAGAGCCCGGTCTAGCACCACATTTCCCAAGGACAGCACTGGTTACCACAGACCACGCCGCCTTCTTCCCATCAGAGTCCTGCTTCTGGCATACCTATAAAAACTGTTTGTAGGAGCTTTGAGAGTGAGGAAAACCTCCAGGTACCCAATTCCTTCTTATCTGACCCCAGAGAACCGCCTAGCTCAAGTGGCCTACAGAGGGTAGGAGGGAGTTCAGAAATGATCCAGCCTCAGAAAGACCTGCCTTTTTATGGGGGTAGTCTATAATGTTTAAAATAAAACAAAACCCATACTTACTTTTCAAAGAGTATGGCTTTCTTTCTCAGCTGCTACTGGCTTTGGCAGGAGTTGAAAATGAGATTCTAGAATCACAAGAAATTAAATGACAAAGCATTAAATCATCTTAAGGAATATGAATGAAGTGCTAAGAACAGCCAGGTCTCTGAGTGCCCAGGAAAAGTGCAAACATCCTGTCCTGTGGCCTTTATGGTCTGCCTCTATCTCAGGCCACATCCTTAGCCCAAAGGGCACAGTAGACAAAAGGTCACATAGGGCAGGGCATCTCAGATAATGAACCAAGGTGGAGCGGTAACAGCAGAGCAAAGAAGCAAACAGATAGATGATACAGAGAGTGAAGAGGATCAAAATGTATCTCGTGTAGATACGGAAATATCACCATAAATTCTATTGTACAGTTTCTAAGAACTTCTTTTAAAAAAATTAGAAAGCAAGAAGGGAACTGGTGGCTCATGCCTATAATCCTAGCTACTCAGGTAACTGAGATCTGAGGAGGGTGGTTGGAAGTCAGCCTAGGCGGGAAAGTCCATGTGACTCTTATCTCCAATTAACTACCAAATAGCTGGAATTTCAGCTGTGGCTCAAGTGGGAGACTGCTAGGCAAAAAAAAAAAAAAAAAAAAAAGCTCAGAGACAGTGCCTAGGACCAGGACAAAAAGAGAAAAGAAAAGAGAGCTGGGAACGAGTGGCTCACACCTGTAAACCTAGATCCCCAGGAGGCTGAGATCTAAGTATCACAGTTCAAGGCGAGGCCAGGCAGAAAAAGTTAAGACTCTTATCTCCAATTAGCCACCAGAAAACCAGAAGTGGTGCTATGGCTCAAAGCAGTAGAGTGCTAGCTTTGAGCAAAAGAGCTCAGGGGTAGTACCAAGGCCTTGAGTTCAAGCCCCATGACTGAGGGGGGGTGAGGGAGAGAGAGAAAGAGAGAAAGAGAGAGAGAGAGGCAGACAGACAGACAGACAGAGAGACAGAGAGAGAGAGCGCGCGAAAGCAATAGGTGAGAGGTGAGAGGTCATACAGCCAGGCTGCATATGAAACACAAGGGATAGAGTGCTCTTGGGACTCGGGGCAGGAGTCAGTCTTGCTCTGCAATCTCACCTTATCAAAGAAACAGCAATAAAGATTCAGAATCTCCTTTTACCTAGATATAGTATTCTAGAAGGAGTGGGAGAAGAGCAGCAACCAACAGACAAAGGGAGGCAGCAGTGCTACGGAGCACTGAATAGAGAATAGAGAGCAGGCTGTGGCCTGCTCCAGAGCGATCCATATTGCCTTGAGTGAGGCCAAATGACGATATACATTTTTTCTTTGTGTGTGTGTACAACTAAAGAACAACCATCTGCTGCCCCTAGGTGCAATGAATAGACACCAAAAAAGGGAAGAATGGCAGGAAAATAAGCCAGCTCTGTTGGGACGTGGGTATCAACAGGAGTGGGTGGGTGAATGGAAAGGGTGATAAAGAATGACTATAATCAGAGAAAGGAAGAGAGGGATAAGGGAGAGGAATAGAGTCTGAGGCTGATCAGGTTTATTGTATGCATGCATGGAAATGGCACAATAAAATGTCCCTTGTACAACTGATGTAAGATAATAATAACAATAAGAAATCATTAAAAGAAAGTCAGTAACTAGGCACCTGTGGCTCACATCTGTAATTCTAGCTACTCAGTAGGCTGAGATATTAGGATCGCAGTTCACAGCCAGCCTTGACAGAAAGTTTGTGATACTCTTATCTCCATTTAACTAGCAAAAAGCCAGAAGTGGAGCTGTAACTCAAGTGATAGAGCACCAGACTTGAGCAAGCAAGCTAAGGGTCAGTATCCAGGCCCTGAGCTTAATCCCCTTATGGGCATAAAAACAAACAAATATAATAAAAAACCATCACTATCTTCCTGGCATAAATAACTTATTTGTGACAATAAATGATTACTACCTATGACTTTATTTAATCAAATCAGGAACACAAGGATACTTCGGTGTATTAGAAATGTATTTTTAAAAAACTAAGTCTATACAGTTATCAAATACTACGAGTCAAGACAGATACATGAGGTGACAGGGAGATTACATAAGAAAACAGGAGGGCACCGGTGGCTCACATCTGTGATCCTAACTACTCAGGAGGCTGAGATCTGAGGATCACTGGTTGAGGTTAACCTTGGGCAGAAAAGTCCATGCAACTCTTCAATATATTATTCAGAAAAAGCCAGAAGCGGCACTATGGCTCAAATGGTAGAGACCTAGCCTTGAACAGAAGAAGCTCAGGGATAGTACCCAGAACCAGAGTTCAAGCCCCAGGACTGGCAAAAAAATAAAAATAAAATTTAAAAAGAGATATTTAGGAATTAAAACAAAATCATGAAATAAAAATTTTAAAAACTCAGAGCAGTAATCTATCCTCATGAAATTTTCCCTTCTCCTTGTAGACGTTAAAAAATTGCAAACTCACTTTGGCACTGGTGGCTCATGCCTGTAATTCAAGCTACTGAGAAGGCTGAGATCAAGAGGATCTAGATTTAAGGCCAGCCTGGGCAAAAAGTTCACAAGACCCCCATTTTAACCAATAGATATGGTGCTACAAGCCATTCCAACTAGGAGGAAGCTGAGATGGCAGAGTTGTGGTTCCAGGCTAGCCCATGAAAAAAAAAAAAGTTCATGAAACTCAAGGAAAGAAGCTGGGTGTGGTAACATACTAGTCATTCCAGTTATGGTAAGAAGCATAAAATAGGAAAATTCCTGTTCAGGCATGACAAGGGCAAAAGTGAGACTGTCAAATAGGGCTGCATGTTCAAAAGAAAAGGGCTGGGCAGAAGGACAGAGGAGCTGGCAGAAGGGCCACACAGGAGCATGAGCACATAGCAGGGAAAGCTAAGCCATAGACCCCCAAGTATTTCAGACAGGTCAGTATTAAATGAATAAACAGAACCATGAACAGTATGGAAGAAATGAGAACTCGTGTGTGTGTGTGTGTGTGTGTGTGTGTGTGTGTGTGTCTGTGTGTGTCTGTGTCTGTCTTACACAAATGCCCAAGTCAGTACAAGGTATGGGGAGAGAGGTGGGAGGAGGGGGGATTGTCTCTGAGGTGCTCTTCCACTTGAGCCAGAACTCTACTTCCAGCTTTTTGGTGGTAAATTGGAGATAAAAGAATCTCACAGACTTTTCTACCTGGACTGGCTTTGAACCATGATCCTCAGATCTCAGCCTCCCAAGTAGCCAGCCAGAATTACAGGCATGAGCCACCAGCACCCAGCAAGAATCCTTTTAAATATCTCCCTAGGGAAAGGCCTGTCTATGAAGACATGAAAAACAGTAGCCATAATGAAAAGCATCGCTGTTACAAAATAATTGTTGTGTTACTAATTTTATTACAAGAGAGAAACACAATGACTGTCTAATATTGTTTTTAAATAACCACTTGAACATACTATCAACAAAATTAAAATTTATCAGAGGTAACAGATTAATGTCCTACAAATCGAGAACAATAAACTGCATTAGAAAATAAGCAAAGGGTCTGATGCAATAACTTCCGGACAGCTAAGAGAAATGACTCTTAAAACATACAAAAGAAAATGCTTGAACTCATTTACATTAAGAGACGCAATACATCTACACATTGATGGTGGGCTTACTTTATCATACTGGCAAATTAAATAAAAAGTTTAATTATAGACAATGTGGCTGAGGCAGAAACAGACAGTTTCTTATTGTGGATCAACTTAGCCTCCCACCCATAAACTCCATGCAGGGCAATCTGACAAAATCTATAACAATATAAGACATATCTACCTTTGACCTAACTATATCATCTTCTAAGAATTCAGCTGTATTCGTATCTGATTGTCTATAAAAATATATTTGTACAAAGTTACTTATTACAGTCTTATTTATATTGTCTGTCATAAGAGACTGTAAGTAACTCACAAGGGACCTCAGATAACAATATAAACTTACAAACAATTTAGGTCCAGCCAGACAAGGCAAAATAAAATTGCACGTGGTACAAGTCAGATTTCATGAAATCAAAGCAAGTGAGGCTGAGGAAATGCCTGAACAAATGTGTAGAGGCAATAGTTGGACCAGCAAAATGAGAGAGACACATCAAGAATTGATAGAGGAGAGACAAGGAGCTCTTTGGGGGACAGATACTTGGATGAGGAGGAGGGTGGGGGTGTCAACAAAGCTCTAAGGTATTTCTGCCCAAATGACTTTTTCTGTTAATAGCACCAGGATAACCAAATGTTAACTGGCTAGACTTTTTTTTTCTTTTTTTCCCCCGGTCCTGGGGCTTTAACTCGGGGCCTGGGCTCTGTCCCTGAGCTTCTCTGTTCTCTAACACTTCGGCCACAGCAACACTTCCCGTTTTTTCTGTTTATGTGTTACTGGGGAATCAAAACCAGGGCTTCATGGATGCTAGGCAAGCACTCTACTACTAAGCCACATCCCCAGCCTCCTGGCTGGACTCTTTGTCCCTGCTATTAAACAAACTACCAGATGTTTATTCTTTGTTCTAAGAAAGAGCCCAATGCCACAATGATAACATGGATTTTGATTCCTATTTACTAAATTTAATTGTTCTTTTACCCATTTGGTTACAGTGCCAATAAAACTGAATTTTACTTTCAGCTAAGAAATGTAATTTTTTTAATTTACCTTATATTAGTTGTGCAAGGCAGTTTCATTGTGCCATTTCTACACAATGCATCCTGATTAATCTCACTCCTATCACTTGACACCTGATTTCTTAAAACAATTTCAATAGATTTCAGTGTTCTAATTTCATAAGTGCAAATAAACTATTTTATCATCATCACACTTATCATCATTCATCATCGTTTGGCCTCTGCATTAGCCCTGTCTGTTCCTGCTTATCCACCTTATCAGTGCCTGTCTTACTTTCCTGTCATTTTGTATGTTGTTTAATGTGTATTAATTGCACTAAAGGGTTTCACAAAGATGTTTCAGAGGTACTTACATTACAATCAAACAAATCTTCCTTTCTATTGTCTAATCTTTCCCTGTCCCTATATTCCCTACTGATCAACAGCTTTCATGGGGATTCCTTA